CTCAGCCTTTGAGTTTTGGGATAACAATGATGCCCATTACATTTATCTAGACAGCATTTTAAATTAAAACTCATATATCTATATATGTCATGTTTTCAAATACATATATATCATATATAAATTTTATATGAATCTTAGAATGATTCAGTTGAGCTAATTAACATGCACTATTCCACAGATGTTTCTATCAGTTGAAAATACTTACAATATAATTTTTGTGACTTTTAAGCATTGTGTTCATTGTTAAGAACTATAGTCATTTTATTCACAACAGATCTTTTGAGCCTCTTTGTCCTAACTAAAATTTTGTAGCCTTTGAATACATTTCCTCTACTCCATCCCCCATCTCCTGGTGCCTGCCATTTTTACCCTCTTTGGTTTCATCCATGTTGTTGCAAATTCAGATTTTCTTCTATTAAAGGGCAAATAGCATCCCACTTTTAATTTATACTGCATTTTCTTTATCCATTCATCTCAATTGAAAGTTAGGTTAATATGAATAAAGCTGCAGTGAACATGAGCACATTGATACATCATCTGTCCATGAACTCATTTCATTTCCTTTGTATTTATACCCAATATGGAATTGCTGGGTTCCATAATGGCTGTGCTAATTTAGGCTCCCACCAATGGTATACCAAGGTTCTCGTTTCTCTAAATCATTACCAGTGCATTATCTTTTGTTTAGGGTTTGTTGTTGTTTTGTTGCTGGGGTTAGTTTTTTGAGACAGAATTTCCCTGTAACCCCAGCTAGCCTGGAACTCGCTATGTAGACCAAGCTGATCTTGATCTCATTGAGATCCTCCTGCCTCTGCCTCCTGAGTCCTGGGATTAAAGGCATGTGCCAGCATACCTGGGCCTTGCATTATCCTTTGATATAACACCATTCTGAAAGTTGTGAAGTCATATCTAAATGTGGTTTTAATTTGCATTTTTCTGATAATTAGTAATAATGAGCATCTTTTCACATACTTGGTCTGTATGTTGTTTATTAAGAAATCTCTTTAAAGGATTTAACTCATTATTTAATTGTGCTATTTGGTTTCTTGCTGTTAGGCTGTTTGAGTTCCTTATATATGTCACATGTATTGGCTACTTATCAGATATAAAGCTTGCAGATACTCTCTCCCATTCCGTCTTTACAATTGCTGGGCAGAGGCTTTTCAGTTTGATGTCATGCCCCTTTGCTCTTTTTCACTTCTTTCTCTGTGCTTGGGACCATATTAAAAAATCTTTCCCTATGGTAGGTCAGAGATAACTAACCTCAGTGGGTTATAAAGGGAAAATAAAAGAAGAGGCTAAGAAATTAGAGAGATGAACATGTGTGCAGATCTAGGAGAAGGTGGGGGGGGAATGCTGGGAGCTATATGATTAAAATGCATTATATATATGTATGAAATTCTCAAAGAATACATAAATAAATGTTTTTAACATCATAGATCAGTCCAATTTCAGTGAGATATCGCTATATGTTTTCTTCTCGTAGTTTTTTAATTTTAGGACTTTGATTTAAGACTTTAACCATTTAGATTTCTATATGGCATGAGATGCATTAGTTTCCTTTTTCTGCATGTAGATGCCCAATTTTCCCAACGTTGTGTTTGAAAGAGACAAGCTTTCTATATTGTATTAATGACACCTTTGTTGAAAATCAATTGACTGTTAAAATGTTCATTTCTTGGCTTTCTAGTGCGCTCCATTGATCTAGTTGTCTGTTTTTATACCAGTGCTGTACTGCTTTATTATAGCTTTGTGTATCTTAAAGCCAGGGGTTCTGATGCCTCCACCTTTTTTTCTAACCGAAGATTTTTGTGTACTTATATGAATTTTTGGATTTTTCCATTTTTGTGAAAAATATAATTTCGATGGGATTATATTAAACCTGCAGCTCACACTGGGTAGTATGTGCATTCTAGTAAGAGCAATTCTTATTAGGAACATGGGAACATAGGAAATCTTCCCACCTAGCTGTGTCTTCAATTCCTTTCATCTGTTTCATAGGTCTAGTGCTTAGGTCTTACATTTCCTTGAATGGATTTATTCATAAAATTTATGTTTTGCTTTGTTATCTATTATAAATAAGATTATTTTCATGACAGTCTATTATTAGTGTTTAGAAATGCTGAAACAGGAACCTAAAACAATGGACACCAAATAATTAAACATTCCCCAAGAATCCCATGCTGGGGAAAGAAAGGGCTTTACCGTGTGGAAGAGGAACTCACCTCTCAGGAAGGGATTTCTCACAGGTCTGACAGTGTGTCACAACTATGTTGACAAGTGCGTATCTCCTGGTTTTTATTTCATCTGTTCCATGAAATCATCACCGCTACGGGAAAGCTGGAGAGAACTAGGAGCCCTTTTCTGCCCAGTTTGAACAAACTATAAATCCATTTTCCTTTATGAATTTGTTTCTTAATTTCTTTTGAAATACATGGAAACTAAGGTACTAGGTTTATGAGCTTTGGAAATGTAAATAAAAACAAAACAAACAAGCAAACAAAAATGCCACATTTAACTATACTTAAAAATGAAACCAACCAACTG